TATTATTATTTTTAAAAACCTGAAAAAAATCCTCACCAGTTTCAGGAAAAGTTAGAAATAGCTCTAAGAAGCACAATATGGAAAGATAAAGTTCAGTAACTTTTGAGTAAAATAAGTTGTTGTTGGATGCCATCTAGTTGAGTCCAAACTGATAGTGACCCCATGAACATCTAATCTCTAAACTCTGTCCTATCCTGTCATTCTCACCATCTCTGACACACTTGAGCCCATTGGTGCAGTTACTAGCCAATCTTAGCAACATATTATAAGGTATTCTAGAAAGAGAATTGATGCCTTTGAGCTGTGGTGCTGGAGAAGTGTACTGAATATACATGGACTGCTAGGAAAACAAACAGGTTTGTCCTGCAGAGGGTGAAGCCAGAATGCTCCTTGGAGTTAAGGATTCTGAAGCTTCGTCTGACATACTTTAGGCATGATGCAAGGGGGGACTGGTCCTTGGAGAGGGACATCATGTTTGAGAGAGTGGAAGGGCGACGAAGGAGAGGAAGACATCGATGAAATGGATCGATTCTGTGAGTGGAGTGGTGGGAATGAGTGTGTTTGAGACAGCGAGGTTGGCACAGGATAGAAAGGCGTTTAGGGCTCTTGTACATAGGGTCGCTATGAGTTGCAAATGATTCGATGGCACATAACAACAACAACAAGAAGAGTATAATATGGTACAATAAACAATTCCAACTTATATTTTTAAGTTGTAAATAAATGAGATTCAGAGACTTAGAGGACACTTTTTTGAATTGGAGAAAATATTATAATGCATTTTAACATATAAGCTACCCAGGCTTTCTGTGTGATTAAATCTGACGTACCCGGAACTCAGAGATGCTGAAAAGATATTTACTTCAAGTTAGTGCTAGCTTTTTCTATGCACAGGGTCTAACACTGGCAAACTAATGAAGAATTGTTTTATTTTAAGAACAGGGAAGTCTTTAACTCAGTGAGCATTTGGAGGATCTGACGGCTTACGTACACACAGTAACCCTGAGATTAGGCTTATAAACAGCAGATATAAACTTTGGAAATTATAGCTCTCTGAAAATCTAATTCATGGCTTCATCATGTTGCTTGTAATTGAAGGCATTCTGAAAAAGAACATATATCATTTATTGCTATAAGGTGCTCTGTAGTCTGTTCCAGTTTATAATGACCCATATACAATAAAGCAAAAATTACATTTCTGAGTCTATGCCTTTCTCATATTTTTTTGTTTGTTTGAGCTCATTGTTGCAGGCAGCATGTCAAATAATTTCATTGAGAGCCTTCCACTCTTTTCCTGACCTACTATTTTACCAAGCATAAGATCCTTCTCCAGACTCTGCCCCTTCTTGTCTGAAGAAGCAAAATGTCTAAAGTAAGCAAAATAAAATATTACTCTTCTCTATTCTTACCAATATTATCATTCAAACACAGCAATTGTTCTTTAATCTTCCTTATTCATTTTCCCATATTTCTATGTGTATCACTCAACAACTCAACTTGTTTCCATTAAATCAGAAAAGACTCATAGCTGATTCTCCACTGGATTTTCAGAACCTGTAATTCGCATAAGAGTAGATCGGCCATCTTTCTCTTGCATAGCAGCTGTTAGATTTGAATTGCTTGTCCTTAGGTTTCCAGGATATCTCATTAACTACTAGGTCAGCAGATTTCCCTACTGAGTCACCAGAGTGTTTTAGGCAATTGAAAATACTATGGAATGGGTCAGGCTTCAAAGTGACATCATTGGTGTTGGGTGTTTTTCTTCTATTTTGTCTTTTACCTTTTTAGAAAATGACCAATTTTAATGGATATTTTTTGGAGTAGGTTTTTTTTCCCTTTAAATTTTATTTTATATTGGTTTTCTTGCAATGTTTGTATACATAGTGTTTCACACTATTCTTCATTCACATTGTGTTTCACACTATTCTTCATTCACATTGTGTTTCATATGATCAATACCTTAAAAAAGTCTTTTGCAGAAAATTTCTCCATTGAAATATATCATTTTCTTTTTACTACCACAAATGTTGATTCTACATACTAGTAAGTGAAATTCTTGTCATGACAGCTTTCTCTTCTTAATATGCTGCTTGTTACATCATGTCTAAGAATTGTAGAGATGTAATCCATATTGAAATTTGTAGTCTTTGAGTTTCATTAATAAGTGCTTCAATTCTTCTTAATTTTCAGAAAGCAAAATTATGTCATCTGTTTGTCACAGGTTGAAAATAAAAGTTTCTCCAAAGAAGAAAGAATGAAAAAACAAAACAAAAACCATAGAAATCAGTGAGGAGAGGCTAAAAAATTTATCTATACCCAAAATTTTTAAACCCTATTAAAAAAATTATGTTTTTACAATATAATGAAAGAAATTTTGTATTCATTAGTATTCTCCTCCTGCAAGTTACCATTACCTCAATGTTATCTAAATGCTAACACTTCTAAAAACAGACTTTTATAGCTAGTAGTTAAGAGCTTAGCCTTTAGAGTCATAGTACTTGAGTTCTAGCGTCAAGTTCATCAGTAATTAGTTGTGTGACAATCGGCACATGATTGAGCTTCTCTGAATTTCAGTGCATACAATCATAAAGTGACAAAACAGTCCTCGCTAAAGATTATTCTTAATTATTGTTGTTGTTTAATGTTGTATTGGAACCAACTTACAGTTAGCTCCCAGTGGGATTTCAGAGATAGTAAATTGCACTGTGGAGATCGTCCATCTTATAAAAGCAAAGCAGTGG